AGAAAAATCAACAAAGGTACACTTAGAACGAGAGAGGGACAAATAATAGCATATTGGCAATTCGTCGTAAGCATTACGCCCTCTAGCGGCTATTGCAGTAACCGAGTTAAGAGCCATTATTTATTTTCTTTCACGTTGAAGGCCATTTGATTGAAGGCATATTGTGTTTTGGTGTCATTGGAGATTATAATAATAATAATAAAGGTCTTTATTTTTCCTTCAAATTCATACAATACACAAAATATATAAAATTATACATGCATATAATACAAAAAGAAAGAAAAAATGCCGAAGATCAGGTGGTGCTGATTTCAAGAAATCAGTACCTCTGCTTTTCATCTTAACCAAGAGAAAAAAAATGTAATATATTTTTTTACATGTTCTGTAACAATCAAATAAAAAACCATAACTAATAGAAACATTTAGCATTTAAATATTGTCCAAGAACTATCACACAGTTTATACATATTTCATAACAGGTCATCAAATAGTTGCACATGTTTTAGTCACTTAGATTTAGTCACAATTTAGATTAAGAGATTTCTTAAAAGATATAATCGATTTTAATTTTGTTTATTTAATTGATAATGTATGTACTTTTGTACATATGATAGAGTATGTATTTTTACTTTCTAGTCCAGAATAGCACTCTTTCCTCAAAAGATGCAGTTGTGCAAGTGAACACTCCAAAAGTGCTTACATTGTATGAAATCGTTAATGACATTAAATTAAAAAACTGTACTTGTGTACATAACTTCACTATTTATAACTGTATAGTAAATATGACTGAAAATTATATTAAGGACAAACGAGTTCATAGGTAAACATTCGACAGCGGATAATGTTAGTTCTTACAAAGTTTAAGTTAAATTTGACTTATGCTACTTTGGGTTCTTTGTTTGGTATAACAGCTGACTTACGAAAACTTATATTTATAAATTAATACCTATCTTGAGCCACAACTTACGGCCTTTGGTGTATTTTCCCACCAAAGGAGAAATTCTTAAAAACATGTCAGTTTGTTTTGCTGATTTTCAAAATGTTAGGCTAATTTTGGACTGTACTGACATTTATGTACAGACTCCAAGTGTTTGTGTTGCCGAATACTATTTTATTCTCAATATAAATCCCATTTAACAATTAGTTTATGATTGGTGTTTCACGGTGGGTTAATAACTTACGTCAGTGAATTTTCCAGTCAAAATAAGATAACCGAGTTTAAAACTTGTTCTCCTTCTACAGCACATCTTGAATTTTTAGTACCACCCAAAAACTTACATATATTCTAAGATATTTAACTTAAGGATTAAAAAATAGATCTTTAAGTTCTTGTTAACTCTTTAACTCTAACAAGTCTATAACTAAAATAAAACTTATAATTAACAAAATTGTCTATGTATTAATCAGTAGGAATAAACAATAGTCAAACAAAAAATATTGAATTTAAAAAACCATGGATAAACGAACAAAACTACTCCCAAAAAAATAAAAAACTAACGCAATCGCAATATACAAGATGAGGTGTAAACAATTATTATAATGGCTCTTAGCTCGGTTCAAATTGATACCGCATTGGCGCTGCGATCTTAATCCGAATAGTCAATGCCGACGATATTGTGATAATAACAAAGAACAAAAAAAAATGGAAAGTATGTTAAAAGAATTGGTAGCAGAAGGGAAAGTAATGGGATTAGTAATAAATCAAGAAAAAACAAAAATAATGAGATTTGACAAAAAATATGACAACAAAAAGGTTAGACTGGGAGAATATATATTTGAAGAAGTAGAAAAGTTTAAGTATTTGGGAATATTATTAGCAAACAATGGAGAAAGGGAAACAGAAATTAAAGAAAGGATAATTACAGCAAATAAGACATACTATGCAAATAAAAAGCTTCTAAAAAATAAATTACTGAGCAAAAAATCGAAAATGAAAATATATAAAACAATAATTCGACCGACTATGATGTATGGAATGGACACCAGCTGGTAAACGAAGACGTGGAAGACCAAGATCTACATGGCTACAAGAAGTAACAAACGATCTCAACAGGGCGGGCGTACGACAATGGAAAGAAAAAACCAGAGATAGGAAACAGTGGAGAAAAATAACAAGAAAAATTCAAATAAAGAAAATGAGGACTGATCTACCTCGTAAAATAGATCTAGAGAGCTTAAGCTTAATCTATATATATATATATATATATATATATATATATATATATATATATATATATATATATATATATATATATATACATTTGTTTTGAGGTTTCCGCGGGAGCTATATGTGCTGTCACTATTTTTCCGGGTTTGACTCCGCGTTGTAAAATGCTGGTTTTCTTGAAAACCATTGTTTTGGCGACGTTTCGGCAAGGTCTCACTTGCCATTCTCAAGCCTGGTGGATCTACTTCTCGTCGTTACTCCATTAGTACTAATCGAGTCTACTCAAAACAGTTGTTATAGCAACACTTTAACATTAGCTATGGAAAAAAAGTTATTTAAACGCCATTTTGAAGGTGGCTTATGACTTTTTTCTTAGTTTAGAGTTTCTTACTCTCAAACGTGTTTTAAATGCTTCACTTTTTGCTCATAGACGAAAAAAGCTAAAATTTACCATTTTTTTTTTTTTTACTTTAATTTGTAAGTCTAAAAAATAGACTGCAGGAAATATATAGGTTCTTTTCTTAATATATACGTCCATGGTTCTTTTTATAGAAGTCAATACTACTCAAAAAAACTGTTGTTTGTCTGGCCGTATCAGTGTCACCAAAAAAATGCTTATTTCCCTGGGCTGTAGGTACTGGACTTACTAAGCTAGACCACCGCTAGACGTCCAGGGTTTGATCCTGCCCATCGAGCAAAAAGATAAAAGAGGGAATATAATCGTTATGAAAAGGAGACCAAAAAAGTGGCCTCTGATGGCGGACATATCCGGAAATGCAAAGGCGCTAAATTTAAATTTTTCAACACTTATTAACAATAGCTATAAAATATTTTTCAGACGAGAAAGTTTTAAATTAATATTAACTATAATAGTCTAAAAAGTGACACAATTGGTAAAAAACTTCAATATAAATAAAATTTCATGTGACAGTTGGGAACAACAATAACATAACCATCGAGCAAAAAGACAATAGAGGGAATGTAAAGGTAGTGGGGGCAAACATATTGTTAGACAGGAAGTGCGATCTTTAGAGGCCACATTAAACAAGGAAAGAGAGTCTCTTTCCTTGTTTTACATCAAATTTAGTTGGGTTATGTTATTGTTTGTCCCAAATGTCACATGAAATCTTATTTATATTGAAGTTTTTTAACAATTGTGTCGCATTTTAAACTATTATCGTTAATAATTAATTAAAACTTTCTCGTCTAAGACACATTCTGCGAAATATTATATAGCTACTGTTGATAAGTGTTGGAAAATTTAAATTTGGCGCATTCGCATTTCCGGATATGTCCGCCATCAGAGGCCACTTTTTTGGTCTCCTTTTCATAAGGATTAGATTCCCTCTTTTGTCTTATTGCTCGATGAACATAACCAAACTAAATTTGACTTCTCAAACAAGGAAAGAGACTGTCTTTCCTTGTTTAAAGTGGCCTCTCAAGATAGCACTTCCTGTCTAACAATATTTTTGTTCCCACTACCTTTACATTCCCTCTTTTATCTTTTTGCTCGATGATCCTGCCACAGGCACCAGAAATTTTTCAATTTCTAATTTAAATAAACCGCCACTTTGGAGGGCACGTAAAGCCGTCGATACCAGCTACGTAAGTAGTCGGTAACATTAAAAATCGGCGTCAGAGGTTTACGCAAAAAAATCGGCGTCAGAGAAGTATTGTGACTTTTTAATTAGGTGCTCACCACAGAACCTCTCGAGAAACTATATCATATGCTTTCTTAAAATCAATGAATATCATTTCAGCGTTTTTCCTTATTCCTTCCCCACATTTTCATATTATAATAATATTTATTTAGGAAGCTTACATTATAATATAGATAGCTTCTACAAATTTATGAATATTTCGTTGTATTCTGGATTTATCCGGTTAATACTATACTATACCCATCGAGCAATAAGACTTGCTCGATGACTATACCACAGAATAATAAACAATCAGAATGCCCACTCTCCATGGAAAATTAAATACGCGCATCTCGTTCGCACAGACGTTCCGCCTTGTTTTAAAGGGAACCAGTGTTGTTTATGTGGTGTGCATAGAAAAATTAACCCGGTTTAATTGATTTACGGCGATTATATTAACATTGTTAAATATAATAACATAAATATAATATAATTCTTCTTCTTCGTCCTTTATTGGGTAATATCCCAGGGGATAATTTGCCCAGCTAACAATATAATATAATTCAACATAAATATAAACAATTACATAACCTCACAAATCATATGTCTGTGTCACAGTATAAATAACAACCTATACTGTGTCTGTGTTATGTGTTTCCTTCTAAAACATGGCGAGTGTGCTGAAAAACTTCAAAGTATCTATTTCCAATTTTCAGTAAAAATTAATATGATTTTTATCACTTTTAGTTAGTTATATCAAGTTCTTAATGCTTAGTTATATCTTTTGTACAATAAAGGTGTAATAGATTCTTAATGAAGAACAGAAAGCAAATAAAATTTAAAGTAGGTAGTGCTATTTAAACTAAAGTTTAAAAATGTACTTACTGCGTTTTTCATTTGATATTGGATAGATCATAAAATGACCCAGATAAATCAAGAATTTGACAATCTCCCTTTGCCTTTTATCCAGCGAATTTGGATAATATGCAAAGTATCACGCAATTAAGTACCACAAAAGTGCTTATAAATAAGATTAATCTTATTTTTATATTTTTCGTTTGGAATATATGGAATATATTACGGAAAAATATAGGAATATACATTTATTAAAATACACGAAATTTTTGTATGACAACATATTCGTTGTGATATGCCTAACGCAAACTTTTATTTTGCGTATTATTTCATTTCTTGTAGTGGTGGACCTGTTCTGTTCACATTTAGACTGTCAACATGGCGTCAATTCTTAAATTTTCTCGATCTTTTGCAAAATTACCAAAATACGAAACTGCATTAAAAGTAAGTATCATTATGTGTTTAAAATTAAACTCAGCATTATTATTGCCTATAATAAAGGTATTATATGGCATGTAAATGACTATTTTATTACGTAATCACATTTGACAAGTAGAGTATATTTGGATTGTCTTTTTAGGCCTGTAGACAAAATATTATTAGAGGAGCAGCCACCCAGCCAGATTCACAAACTGTTGTTCTAAATGTACCACCAACAAAAGTCAGCACTTTGAAAAATGGTATGTAGATTATAATAAATTACAAAGTTGAGGTTATGTGTTATGTCACAAAGGTCTAGTGGTAATATTTTTTAACAAACTTTAATTTGAGGTCCCGCCGACTGTAGAACTTTCATATGAAATAACTTTATTGGTAATAGTTTTCTTGTTTAAGTATAATTACCAATTCTATTTGGTGCAAACCTTTGAACTTCAGTGGAGACTGTTGCTACTAGTACCTGTTTGCTTCTCTCAATTAATTTATTTTCTTCTCATGCTTCTTTTCTACTTTTATAAAACTGTTTTTCAACTTAACTCACTTAGTTTCTTTATCTTAATATAATCTAATATACCACTGTTATACATTCTTTTGGGTCCTATGGTGATATCTTAGTTTGCTACTACATACTATAAGACACATTAATACACTAATAAGACACATTTGCTGATTGCAAATTACCTATATTCATTTTGTTTTGGCATGTATATCCTCTTTAGTTGGTGAATATATTTTCACAATATCCTTTTGAAAATATGTTATATATCTCTCTAAAAAACATAGGTTTAATAAAAGCAAGCAGAAGTAATGTTTAATTTTTTTGTCAAAGGTTTCTGTTAAAAACAATTCAATAGTTCAGATTCTTAACAGAATATGTTCAAATCCGAACTATTGTATGAGATCTTGATTTTCTGCAATTTCATGTAATTATTACTGCACATTGTACACATTCAACTGAGCAACTAGTTGAATGAGTATAGAATTTGTTTAATTAACTAAACCTAGAAAATCGCATTTCTAAGATTACAATCTTGTCCAGTCCAGAAGCAGTGTTTTTAGCAAATGGATTAATCCATATACAAGATTTCTCATATTTAACAATACAAATTTTGTAGTAGGTAGTGATTACCATTAACATTCATCATATTGCTAAGGGCTTGCTTTTCAGTTCTTGCTGTTTTCGTACATGTAAAAATTCCAAGTGTTATTTTTATACAAAAAATTCTTTCTATTTAGTGACAAACACTGTTTGGTTCCTAAACCCTGAATATAATTACCTACCACATTGTAGATCAAGATATTAAATATGAGATCTCTTTTTAGGCATCAGAGTAGCTACTGAAGATTGGGGTTCCCAGACTGCCACAGTAGGTATTTGGATTGATGCTGGCAGTAGGTATGAGGATGATAAAAATAATGGAGTTGCCCATTTCATGGAACACATGGCATTTAAGGTTAGTTATTATTCACTAATCCATGTATATATACACATTCAATTTCAAAGACAAGTTTGTTTAACAAACTTACAATAACATAATTAGCGAAATCATCACAATTAAGATGGGAATAATTGGTAAAATGGAAACAAATCTTAAAGAAAAAGGGCTCTAGAATTAGAGGATTAAAACTAACAACTGTAAAAAATAGAAAGAAATTATTTAATGTGAATTTATCACCTTTTGAATTTAAAGTATGTTTATTTGGATATTTTGATTTCCACTTTAGAAATTGTTCTCAAAATACAAATTAAACATGGTTGAGACATTCTGTTTACTCACCCATTTATTCTGCTCCAAAAACACACTGGTGATCAAAAATCAGGGTCTACAAAACCATTTAGACATAGGTGATGACGGAGGACACAAAACGAAAGCCTTTGAAAGAAAAGTCTTAAGGAAAATATTTGGAAGTATTAATGAAAACTGAGTATGGAGATCCAGGTACAACCATGAACTCTGCAAATTGTTCAAAGAGGAACCAATCTCAGAATTCAATAAACTTAAGAGACTTCAATGGGCAGGTCATGTAGTGTGAATGGAGACCAAAAGATTGCCAAAAAGAACCCTAGATCATAGAAATCAGGGCGGCACAGAAATCAACTGGCAAAGTTGGAGGCCCAATTTAAAGGAGGCCAAGGCTTGATTTGAGCTGTAGCACCATTGGAGAGAGGGAGACATTTAAAAAGGATGAAATGAGAAGCGTAGGCATTTAAAACCATAGAACCATATAGAGATAAATTGTCCAGCTCACGGTATGAAGTGCCTGTGTTAACTTTATATAAAATATATTTGTATAAGCTTTACATATTTTGCTGTGCATAAATTCATCATAATTATGCAGTCTTATAAGCATGCATTTAACTAGTAGAAGGTACTAATAATTTCCTTAAACTAGTTTACACCTTTTAATCTTTGATAAGGATGGGATGTCATGATTGTATTACATCACTGATAAGAGCTTTTTGTATTCATACTATTTTCTACTTATAAATCACTGTTTTTTGTGTCTGTGTTAAAGGAATAATTTTACTAGGATTATTCATAATTTAAATATCGCATGTATGTATATTAATTTCCTTTTTTGCATGAAATAAAGTTGCATTACTTTTTTTCAAATTACAACTTCTCTTTTGGTGTATTTCTTAGGAGTGTAAGTGATCCAATATTTAAAGCATATTTTGGATCTGTTTCCTTCTTTGTCATATTCAAAAAAATAATTTTTTTTATTTGTAAATTGAGTGATCGGAACACAGAAACATTTAAGTCAATTTTTTTAATTATAAACACCTAAAAAGAATTATCTACTGCTGACATAAAACAGACACATCACATATTGTGATCAACTAGTGATCTTTTTTATACTCACAATTTTAACTTTTAATTAATTAATTTTAACTTTGAAACCAAAATTCTGAAATCTGTCTAAAATAATTTTATAATTTATTTAGTTATGTATTTTTTATACATATTCTTAATAGTCTTTATTCTAGTGTATCAATTAATGAAGTGAATTAATTTGTATCATTTGTTATTCATAAATAGAGCTCAAATATCCAACCACTCAAAAGTTGTTTGGATTACTTTGAGGTATAATTTCAAACATCTGCATTTCGCAATACAGTACCAGATTTGAAATAATAGAATAAAAATGTTTTATTGAAATGCTCTTCATATATTCCTGTTCAGCTTCCATAAATTATTCTCATACAAAATTTAATGTTTATTTTAATTAACCCTTGAATAATCATCTACCTTTTCAACTCTTATGAAAAATAAATTTTATTATTGTATCTACTTCCCCACTTATTACAGGACATAGACAATGAATATAGATGTAAAATACTGCTGTAGGTGGTGACAGCATAAACTTTATTATATTATTTGTAGATAAGCAGGGAAGTATTCCCCTCTCCACTCTTTTATATTTCAGAGGCAGTAGATGCATATATATTTGTTAATATAGAGATTGCAGTCAATGCCATTTTCTGGTTAATTAATTTATACCTCCAAATCCATAGTAATTTAGCAATAAGCAGATCATGGTTAACTCTATCGAAGGCTTTAGAGAAGTCTGTGTAGATAGCGTCAACCTGACCCTTGTGTTCAACTGAATTAGTAACAAAATTAGTATACAATATTAAGTTCATGCATGTAGACTTACCTTTCAAAAAGCCATGTTGTTGAACAGCAAGTAAATCTTTACAATCCCATATCAAGAAATTATTTAAAAGACATTTAAATAATTTGGGTAATACTGATTGGTTACAAATAGCGCTATAATTTTCAATATCATTTTTATTGCCTGACTTGAAGATTGGTGTTAGATAACTAGTTTTCCAATAATCAGGAAAGATACCAGTACTCAGTGATGAAATAAATAAGTAGTGAATAGGTTTTACAACAGTAAAAATGCAATGCTTGAGCTGGCTGAGAAAATAAGCTGGCAAACAATCTGGTCCAAGTGATAATTTCCAAAGCATCTTTAAAACCCTATCCATTTTTTAAGAAATCTTAATATTATAATTATTCACATTGACACAACATATAGTTGTGCCACAAAATATCTTTAGTTAATTTGTTAGGTGGTTAATAGTTAAATATTTTGATAAAAGAATTTTTTAAATAAAATTGTACTTAATGTTTTAGTTTATTTAATAAAAAGAGTTATACTGAAATTTAACTATACTTTTGCAAAAAAAAATTAATCCATTATTATATTTTAGGGTACCAGTAAAAGAACCCAAAGTCAGTTAGAAATTGAAATTGAAGACCTAGGCGCCCAATTGAATGCCTACACAAGCAGAGAACAGACAGTATATTATTCCAAATGTTTAGCCAAAGATGTACCAAAAGCTATTGAAATCTTGGCTGATATCATCCAGAATGCCAAATTGGGAGAGGCCGAAATCGAACGAGAAAGAGGTGTAATCCTTAGGGAAATGCAAGAAGTCGAATCTAATTTACAAGAAGTTGTGTTTGATCATTTACATGCTATTGCTTACCAAGGAACACCTTTAGCTAATACTATCTTAGGTAATTGTTTTGTATCAATATATTTTTGATATTATTTTTTTATTAAAATTAATTATACCAAATATTTGCTCTTGCCAAGCGTCATCATAAAAGAAGGAAATCCACCTCCATTTAATGTTTAGCATTTTTGTCATACCCAACGATGATGAAAATCTTTTAGCAGCAATCAATATATTAAAGCTTTTACATATATGTTGACATGATGATTAGGAGGACAAGACTTTTATCATAGGCTTATAGTATTTACTTTGTTTTTAATAAGTAAACACAAAGGTATAATAAAGTGTAACAATATTAAAAAATTGATAGGATATTTTAATGAAAAACCTCTATATCTATATTTTGTTCTGTTTTTTTTAAGTGTAGTCACTTTTACAGTAGGGACCTATGGAGGAGTAATATGGGCCAAGAATGTTCATCTAATGCCATACTTCCCATTCTTCGGTTGATTTTATACAGCAATGTATTCCAGTCGTAGCAACAGATTCATTTAAAATTTTGTTAGCCTTTTTGTTTTCTGACCAGAGCCTGAGCCATCGTCCACTAGATCATTAACAGTAAAGTGAATTCAAGTCAGTCTCGTGGCCCGCTTCGCTATCTGACCTAATCAAAAACCTATTCAGCAAAAACTGTTTTATGTATTGAATATTTTTTCAACCCTTTCTTTATTATTGTTAATTTCCATAAGTAATTTCCATAAGTAATTTCCATAAGTATTATGTATATAAGAAAAACAAGAATTTTAAAAACATAATTAAATAGGATTGTAAACAAATTAAACATTTGATTTTAGGTCCCACTGCCAACATTAGGACAATCAACTCCACAGATCTTAGAAATTACCTTGACAACCACTACAAAGCTAGCAGAATTGTTGTTGCTGGAGCAGGTGGAATTGAACATCAAGATTTAGTGAAACTCGCTGAGAGCCATCTGGGTTCCTTAAGTAAGTATAATGTAATACACGGAAAAGGTATAATATAAAAAAAAACTAATAAAAACTGTTAGAATGTTTAATAGGCACACTTGTGTTATTTCCAAATACTTATATAGGCGTTAAACTGAGAAATGTCTAAATGTGTCAGTTTTACATCTAGATTTCTTAAAAAATAAAAAACTTGCTTGAGAAGAATTTTTATCTTGGGTTAAAGATCATTCTAAAAGAATTTCGCCACCATTATGACACATTGTAAGCTGAAATATTAGTGTTTCAATACTTCACATACTTTTGTATAACATACTTTTGAAAATTATTAATAATCTAAGTATTTTCCAGTAACTTCTAAACAAAACTTAAATTCAAACAAGTTAAAAGTCTACTTAAAAATATTTATAATTCTAGAATTTCTTTTGAAAATTAAATTCATATTCAATAGTCCAATTGTAGAATCGCCCTTATCTTTTGTCATCCTTACAGTCACTCCAGTTACTTAAAAAAACCTAAAAATATTCGTATTGTGTGTGACTGTTTAGTTGGGATTACTGGATGTTTTTTACTAAATACACTTTTGTGTGGAACATACAGTTTTTATTATTAATTTTCCAAGTATACCAGAGAATGTAGTTATGAATTGTGTTATTTTCAGTATTTTCACTTCCTGCATTTGTCTCATATTCAAAATGTCCTCACTATTAGCAATTCTAGTTTTTATTAAAAAAAACATATAATTATAAAAATACAAGGGATATGAATATAAAAATCATGGATTAAATGAGAAAATGTGCACACTACATGTGACAACAGTATTTAGCTAATTCCTGGTTATTAAAAACATATATTATGTCAAATCTAACTTTTTTAGTGTATGCAAATATTTATAGCTACCAATATCCATAATCAATAATAAGGAGCTCTCTGTTGAATGAAGGTACCCCCTATAAACGGGCTAGGCCTAGTGAATGGAAGTATAGAAAGGTGTGAAACGACCACGCTGGAACAGTTCCTGTCACCACATAGCCCTCTGGGGTATCTGGGAATCCTTCCCAGGTATTCAAGAGACTAGGAGTGGAAGAACTGCTTCAGCGACCAAGAAGCAGCCTACCCAAGCTAAGGTGTGAGGTAATCGTGCCGATGGCTGTATGACCACAGGGTTTTATGTGGTCGTGAACGATCCCCCTGGGGAACCAGGCAAACCCCACTGTATTAAGCCTTCCCCTGGTAATGCGGGGCTCTGCCAGGGCGACCAATCTTTCCCTAGCTACTCGTGGGAACAACATGAATTCAAAACAAATAAAAAAACCAAAACCAAATTCCGAGGTTGGACCAAAACGTTCACCTCAGCTTGAAGCCGCAGATAAGGATGGACAGCAATGTTCACCTCTAGTCTCGGCCCAACCGGAGGCTGGTCCAAAACGTTCACCTCAGTCTGAAGCCGGAGCTAAGGATGAACAGCAATGTTCACCTCAAGCTTCGGCCCAAACTAAGGATGGACAAGGACCACCTCGGGAAAATCAGCCAAAACGCCGCAGAATTTGCGGCGCCGAGGCAAAAAGAAGGAAGAAGGCCAGAGAGGCGATGGGAAACGCACCCACCGGAGCAGCTCATCCCTCTCCAGCCCCTCCCAAGACAAAAGTGAAGATGCCCACATCGGAGGCTGACAACGGTTCCACCTCCAAAAGAGGACAGGAACCAACAGCCCCCGGTGTGAAGCGCCTTCACCCAAGTACCTCCACGGAGGGAACGCCGAGGAAACATAAGAAGTCACGCGGTGGTGGAAACACCGCTGCGCCTTCCCAAAGCTTCGCGGAAGCTACCTTGAGACATCTCAAGGTTGCTATTATAGATAAGGAAAACCCGTACGGAAAGGTCACCGCCGACCGGGCAAACCTTATTAGAGATAGCCTAATCGAGGAATTGGACAGAAAATTCTTGTCACCCTCCAGCAGCCAGGTAAAAGCACCCACGTTTAAATCGTGGACTCACTCTGGTGAGATCATCAGAGTAGTCTGTGATGACGATGAGGCGCTTGCATGGCTGGAAAAGGCTACAGCTGAGCTCAAACCGTGGGAGGAAGCATCACTGGCAGTTGTCAGTCAGGATAAGCTCCCAAAACTTACCAAGGCCTCTCTATGGATCCCGGAGGATGCTATTAGCACCTCTGATGACCCAGAAAGAGTGCTGCGGAAGTTAGCGGTGCAAAATCCAGACATGGCAGTGGCGAGATGGTGCACCTTCCACCATGAGGCGAAAACAAAGGATCCTAAAGGACACCTGTTTGTCTTCGGAATCGGAGACGATGATATGGCTGTCCTTAGGAAAAGGGCAATGAGGCTGAGCTGCGCGTTCACCTCATTGTACCTAAAAGCAAGCACAAACAAAGTGAAGGATACCTCCTCGGAACCAGGAACCTCAGACACGCGGCAACCGACGACGGTTGCTGAGACTGAGACACCCCTGGTTCCACAGCAGGGAGACGATCATCAGATGATGGTCGACGAACTCTGCGGAGGAGGTTCCAAAACAACTGAAGATGACCCCTCCTCAACCGAGGAGGAAATGGACACCTAAAAAAAAAAAAAGAACCGAAACGATACCTAAGCCATGGGCAAGGACGTCGAAAAAAATAAGGTTATCATTATTCAATGCAACCTCCAACACAAAAAGGTGGCAACGGCGACACTATGTCGCCGCCTGGATGAAATGGAGGATGCAATAGCACTAATCCAAGAACCTTGGATAAATAAGACCAAAATAACTGGTCTTAGCAGCCTAAACGGTCAAATTATCAGCTTACCAAGCAATCAACAACCGAGAACAGCAATATATGTTCCCAGAAAAATCAAAGCCTCCCCCATGGCGCAGTTTTGCACCTCAGACGTAACTGCGGTTAAAGTGAAGTGCCCATGGGGAAAGGGCAAAAATAGAGAGTTGATAGTCTACCTACCCTCAGATGCAGCCACCCTACCACCAACAAGGGAAATGGAAGATCTGGTAGACCATTGTCTCAGTCAGAAAGTAGAACTTATTATCGGCTGCGATTCGAACTCTCACCACTTAGGCTGGGGCAGCAAAGACAACAATGCTCGAGGTAAGTCCCTTTATGACTATATTATTATAAAAGATTTGTATATCTTAAATAAGGGCACCGAACCTACCTTTATTATTGTTCGTAGCCAAACAGTCATAGATATCACGCTGGCAACAGCTGAAATATCGAATAAGATTCAGAACTGGCAGGTATCGGATAATATTTCTATGTCTGACCACCGCTGGCTAACCTATAATATTAGTCTGGAAAAAAGCCTTGTCAAATCACGCGACCCTAGGAGGACGGATGTAGAACTCTACAACCGACTCTTAGAAGATGCTCTGCGGAATGAAAAGGCTTCAACTCCAGGAACTAATATAGAATTGGAAAGGTATACGGTATCTATCCAAAACAAAATAAGCTATGCTTATAAAAAATCCTGTCCAATAAGGATGGTCCAGGAAAGTCGCAAAACCAACTCTTGGTGGTGCACTGAATTGGAACACCTTAGAAAGATATCAAGAACAGCTTTTAATAGAGCGAAACGCACCAAACTCAAAGAGGATTGGGATTCTTATCAATCAAATCTCAGAGAGTTTAAAAAAGTCTGCAGACAAAGACAAAGAGCTGCTTGGAGAACCTTCTGTGAGGAAATCGAAGATTTCCCGCAGGCTTCCAGGTTACAAAAAGCGCTCTCAAAGGACCCACATCGGCATGTCGGCATACTAACGAAGGAAGATGGGAACAAAACTTCCAACCTTCGCGAAAGTGCTGAGGTCCTGATGAAAACACACTTTCCCGGTTCTAGTGTCTCAACAGCACCAAACCGGATGGAAGAAACAATCATACCCTCAACAAACGACTGGCATCTCGCCAGAACAATGATTAATGAGGAAAAGGTAAAATGGGCTATATCGTGCTTCACCCCTTTCAAATCACCAGGGCCTGACGGCATATATCCAGCCCTACTGCGGTGGGGACTGGATATCCTTCTGCCGCACCTCGTGGAAATATTCAGAGCCTCTTTGGTTCTGAGATATATTCCTAAGAAGTGGAGAGAGGTACATGTGGTCTTCATACCAAAACCAGGTAGGATGGACTACACCCTACCAAAGGCTTTCCGACCAATTAGCCTAACATCCTTTCTGTTGAAAACGATGGAGAGGCTATGCGAGAGGTACATAAGGGATGCAGTTCTGGTTCATAACCCACTTCACCCAAATCAACATGCATATACTTCGGGAAGATCCACCGATTCTGCACTGCATCATGTAGTGGGAAGAATTGAAAGATCGTTGGATAATAAAGAATCCACCCTAGGTATATTCATAGACATTGAGGGAGCGTTTGATAAAACCACATTCCCAACTATCACCCAACAGCTCAACGTTAGAAATGTTCCCCTGGCCATAAGCAAATGGATATTTAGTATGCTTTCTAGTAGAGCAATAAGCATAAATGTAGAAGACGTTTCTGTTAGAGGCATGGTTACGAGGGGATGTCCACAGGGAGGGGTGCTATCACCACTACTATGGAACATAGTTCTAGACACCCTGGTTGACCAACTCAACAGCAACGGTTTCTACACAATAGCCTATGCAGACGATATTGCTGTCCTGCAAAGCGGTAAGTTTGAGAACACACTATGTGAGAGATCACAAGTTGCTCTTCGACTAATAGAAACATGGTGCAAGGAACACTCACTATCTATAAATCCTAAGAAAACAGAGATGGTCCTTTTTACCAGGAAAAGAAGAATCACGGGCTTAATACCCCCAAGGATTCTAAACTACAGTCTAAATTTTTCTGACGAGGTGAAGTACCTTGGTATTACCCTCGACAAGAAATTAACATGGAACTCACACCTAGATGGTAGGGCTAAAAGAGCATATATTGCCTATGAACAGTGTCGACGAACGGTTGGACGCACCTGGGGCCTCACGCCCAGGGTGATCGCCTGGGTCTACACCGCTGTCATTAGGCCAATGCTAACTTACGGAGCTATTGCTTGGGTACCAAAAGCGCTACAGGCAACAGCGATTAACAAACTAAACCATATTCAGCGGGTGGCTTGCATAAATATAACAGGTGCCATGAAAACAACACCAACTGCTGCAATGGAGTTGATCATTGGCATCACGCCTCTAGACATATATGTCAAAGAGGTGGCTTTAGTGACAATGATGCGACTGCGCTCAGCTGGTGCAAACCTTGATGTAGGAATGGGACAATTGAGAACTCGTTTCTGGCGGGGAGAGCTGGATGCGTTACCAGTACTACAGGCAGGCTGCGACTCAATTGAACCAAAGTTCGTCTTTAACAAACCCTACAAAATTGAAACAAGACAGTGTACGGAGACAAACGTGGCAAATGCCTATTGCATATACACCGATGGCTCCAAAATGAAAGAAGGCTCAGGATGCGGGATATACTCCAGATCACTGAACCTAAGAATAAAGTGGGGTATGGGCAAAAATGCCAGTGTGCTTCAGACAGAACTAACTGGTATTTCCATAGCCGCAAAAGAGATAACCCAAAAAGGTATAGCAGGGAAAACTATAATGATCTGCACAGATAGCAGACAAGCGCTACTAACCTTGAATAGACCACGTGTCACATCAGGTTTAGTAATGGAGTGTCACGAGTCATTAACTCAAGCTTCGGATGGTAATACCATCATCCTGAAGTGGGTTAAAGGACACAATAGGAATAAAGGCAACCGCATTGCTGACCAATTATCTAGGAAGGCGGCAGGCCTAAGACTCCTAGGACCTGGGGATCTTTTTGGTTGGTCAACTACAACAATCGCGGAAATTGTCAAATGTCACTCCCATACGCAAACCGTAAAAAGATGGGAAGAAGGGAAAGGATGTAGACTTGCCAAGTTAACACTAAGTAACCTTGAAGAGTCAACATCAAAGAAGTACTTGGGAATGACCAGGAAAAATCTACGTTTGGCAGTTGGTTTTTTAACTGGTCATTGTCAACTAAGCAAACACCTCCACACACTGGGGCTAGTAGACACACCTCTATGTAGGAAGTGTGAACGAGAAGACGAAACTGTAGAGCATGTCCTATGTGAATGCCCAGAGTTATCGTTAATACGAGAGTACGCGTTCGGCGAGTCCTGGCCTACACCTGCCCACATAAGTGAGATGTCTCCTGGTGACTTGTCCACCTTCCTAGAAATGGCAGGATGGACAATGAGCTAAGGGTGACAGCTCCCTGGGAGGATGCACAATGGGTCAATTGTGGCCTAAGTGCTGTGAAACTTAACTCGCCCTCCCTACTCTACAGATACAGATACAGATATCCATAATCAAAGCTATAGTTAACAATTATTGTTATTCACTATTGAATACAATACTTATACATTTGTTTAAATCTATTTTCCACAAATTTTATATCGACAGTTAAAATCTCATCATCATTTGGCACTACAGTCATTCATGAGCTGTGGCCTGCCTCAAAACATTCTTCCATCCTTCCCTGTCTGTCTTTATTTAGCATGGATATTTTAGAAGGATCACTTTCATCTATATGAATGACGTGGCCCACTCATCTTAGGCAGTATATTTTGATAGTTTTCATGATATCTACATCACCAAAAAGTCCATAGAGTTTGAAATTATATCGCCTTCTCCACAGATCCTGTTAGTCTAATCCGCCATATATGCTCGTGAATACTTTTCTTTCAGAAATTCGTAAAAACTCTTCATCTTGGGTCGTCATTGCCCATGCCCCGTAGTGAGCACTGAGAGTATTATTGTTTTATAAAGTTTACACTTTGTTGCTTTTGACATATTTCTTGCTCTTGACCTTGTTGAAGGCCTAGTCCAAAATAACAGCGGTTAGCCACGCATATTCTTTTTCTAATAATTCTAAGTAACAACACTTATACTAATGCGTTTTTAATGCGTGTGAAAGCTTCAACTGCTTCATTTCCGGTTCTTTCAATGATAACAATATCATCATATTGTATACTACAGGTATATATCGTACCCATTAAGTTTATTCCAGAATCTCTCATAACTTTTTCTAACACTAAGTTGAACAGCATGCATGATAGCACATCTACCTGGCACAGTCCTCTGTTAGTTGTAAATGGTTCTGAAAGATCCCCTTGTACTCGCACTTTACATTTAACTTTCCTCATTGTCATGTACACTGCCTTTAAATCTACATAGATATAATGACAGTCTGTGTTGTACCCCATTGTTTTTTATTATATTTGTCTGATGGATGATAGGTGATCAATGGTAGATCTGTTTTTTAAAAGCCTCTTTGCTAGGATCCTATTATATTGTCAATATACTATGCCAATCGTCCGTTAAGTATAAAATTTTGAATGCCATATTAAGAAGGGAAATCACTCTAAAGTTGGAACAGTCAAGCACATTTCGTTTTTTGTGTAGAGGGCATAATTCCAGTATTCCAATCTTCTGTAAAGCGCGTTCTTGCCATACCCATATTAATAGTTTGTGAAAGAGGGTTACAAATGTTTGACAGCCACATTTAAATATTTGTGCAGGTAGGTTACCTGCTCCAGGTGACTTGTTTCTGTTTCTAAAGTAAGTTTATTGACGTTTCAATTTCCACTTCGGAAATCGTTTTCAAACATTAGTAAATTAAACAAATTTTGTTTTTTTGTTACTTGGTGAAAAAATTCTTCTAATTATTTAATTTTATCTGACTCATTTATATTGACAATTTAGACATACATTATACATTTTAAAGTAGACGACTTTAAAATGATATTGCCAATATTGTTGAGTTGCGTTTGTGTTCCTGGGACGACTTTACTTGTAAGATAGTTTATTTGATTACATGAAATCAACTTAACTTTTTAATAACTTCCTCTTTAGAAGTACAGATATATGACATAGATGCAAGGTGGAGAACATCAAAACCTGGGTAAGAAATAGAAAAGTAGAATGGAACGATCATATAAGCCGAATTTCAACAAATAGAGTAGTAAAGACGGCAAGAGACGGTTCCCCAATAGGAAGACGATCAGTAGGAAGACCACGAAAACCATATAATGACAACTTCTGGAGGCACATTGAAAAACAGACAGAATCATGTCTATATAAAAAGAAGAAGAAGAAGATCCTACTACATTCTGCCGAGGAATTTGCGACTGAGACCAATTGGTCTCATTTAGCATAATTAGGGCTGCTTCTTTAATTTTTCTCTTTGTTTCTTTTAGGACTATACTTCAAGAAATGTAAGACCAAATACTTACCATGTTGGGATAGTATTATGAGGTTTTTTTCCTGGCTTTTCCCTTATGATTTACCATGGAATCACTAACAAGAGAATTTTACTGTCATCATGGCATGTGGTTGTCTTTTTAAAGACAAATTACATGCTATGATTTTTTCGGACAGATATTCTCAAGTTAAAGTTGATTTCAGGTAATCGAATGAATTATCTTATAAGTAAAGTCGTCCCAAAAATACAACTAAATGAGTCAGATAAAATTAAATTATTAGAAAAAATGTTTCACCATGTTACAAAAAAAACAAAATTTGTTTAATTTACTAATGTTTGTATTTTGAGAACGATTTCCGAAGTGGAAATTGAAACGTTAATAAACTTACTTTAACCTGTAATTGTGGCTTATTCCCATTTAAATAGTAATTACTTTAAAATGCCACAAGAAAATAGATTCAGAACAATATAAAGACTGAATTGCCTTATTTATTTCTTCCAAATTTGGTAGCTCAGTGGGAATGGGATTAGATAACCAAGTATATTTAAAATCAAGATTTAAATGTCTCCTTAAAGAAGAACCGTAAAGAACCTTAAAGGTTCTTTTAAAATTAACTCAGTATCTTTTATTCCAAACTTCCTTTATTTTAAAACAAAGAGTCATTTCCGTTATTTTAAAATGTTGTTTATACATATGTTCATATAATATACATCATACTTATACACATTTTTCATATTCTAGACAATACTTATCCAGGAAAAGTTCCAGTAATTGCTCCATGTCGTTTCACTGGATCAGAAATCAGAGTCAGAGATGATTCCCTGCCTTTGGCCCATATTGCAATTGCTGTTGAAGGCGCTGGTTGGTCTGACCCTGATACCCTTACATTGATGGTTGCTTCTACATTGTTGGGTGCTTGGGACAGGTCCCAAGCCTCCGCCAAACAGAATGCTACCAACTTGGCTAGAGCTAGTGGTGAAGGTGACTTGTGTCATTCCTACCAAAGCTTCAACACCTGCTATAAGGTAAATTGTATTTTCAAATTTCATTTTTTGTTCCATTTACTGCGGGTATAATGTATAGGCTTAGAATAGTCTTAATATTAATTTTAAACATCTTTTTAGGATACTGGTTTATGGGGAGTGTATTTCGTCTCAGATCCTCTTAAGATTGAGGACATGGTCTTTAACATTCAACAAGAATTCATGAGACTCTGCACTTCCGTAACTGAAGCTGAGGTTGAGCGTGCTAAAGCTCTCCTTACTGCCAACACTCTTCTTCAACTTGACACTACCAGTGCAGTATGTGAGGATATTGGTAAGACAAAACATATTTATATTTCATTTAACACATTTTATATTGATTCCTAATGAGATCCAAAACTGTATGACCAAAAGAAACGTAAATGCCTATGTAAATAAATATCAATATATTTCATTATTGCATGATGATTTGTTAGTATAGATTTGGTATTTATTAAGAATTTCTTTGTCATTTTTAATACATACGCAGCATATTTCTTTATTGTTTTTTTTAATTCCATACATTTTCGCAGGTCGTCAATTGCTCTGCTATGGCAGAAGACTCCCACCCCACGAATTGGCCCACCGAATCAACAGCATCACCGCCAAAAACGTTAAAGATGTATGCTACAAGTATTTATATGACAGATGTCCAGCTGTTGCAGGTGTAGGACCAGTAGAACAGTTGCCCGACTACAACGTCGTCAGGTCACAAATGTACTGGCTTAGAGTTTAAGAAGGTTCAACCTTAATAACAGGAATGATGGATGACTGTTAAGAATTGATTTTATTAATTTCTGCTGCTTATCTAGGCTTTTAGCACTGTCTATGATTACTAGTAAAATAAAACATTTCTGTAAATATTGTGATTTATGATATAAAAGAGAAGGGAAAAGTTTGATAGACTGTAAATTCTAAACCAAAAACCAGAAAATGGAGTTTGATACTCTAATGAAAAAACTGGATAAATGCATATTTTAATTGAGAAATTAACAATTGCTTTTGTGTACTAGTATTCATCATTTTTGTTAATAAACTCTTAGCGAAATTTTTTCCCAGATATTTTTTAATTCCTGTACGATCCACATCTTGTAATATATTAATTTAATTTATAAAATATGTTGTCTAAATGTAAGTACTTTACGTCGTTTTTATTAAAATAAAGAATTAAAAAGGTGCGTGATATTTTTGTTTCTATTTCAGAATCCCTGGTTTTGTTAAACTTTTAAAGAATAACTTTTCCAAATAAGTTTTTATTTCATACTCATACTCCGCTATACTAGTTCCAATCCTGAGGCCACATCAGAAAATCACACCAAATTCTGATTTTATATGTATGTTATTTTAAAATATAAATGATGTATCATCGATATTGATTTTAAGATTTCCTATTGTAAAATAGGTTACCAGATTCTACTGCATTCTGTCGAGGAATTTGCGACACAAATGGTCTCATTTAGCATAATTAGGGCCACTTCTTTGATTTTTCTCTTTTTACCATCTGTTTCTTTCATACTTAAATCTTTCCACTGAACTCTACGTTCATTTTTACATGCGTGTTTACATATGTGAGATCTATCAAATTCTCTATTTTTAATGTAAAATTGATGTTCATTTATTCTAACGTTTAATGCTCTTGATGTTTCACCTAAGCAAAAATAGTATTCACAAAGTATTAAGTCCTTGTTCTTTCTTGTTCATTGTTAGCCTTAGTTTTAGGTAAATAAATCTCAATTTAAGGAAAATTCCTTATTTATAAACGACAAAGGATAATCATTTTCTAATAAAACAAATTTTAACAAATGTAGGGTCACGGTGAAGAACGATGAAGCATTTTCGGTAAAATGAAAAACCAAATTACATATTCAATAACTACCTAACTATAGTTCAAAAACTAATTGTTTGGTAATTTCTACTCTAAAAGGTGTTAGCATGTGTTTCAATATTGCTTGTAGAGCTTATGAGTAGGGATATTCAAAATGAGCAATTTTGGGTAAAACACGGGTTTATTTGACTGTCAAATGATGTTTATGCAATTCTATAAACAAAAAATATCCGTTCAATCTTCCTCATCTAGAAGGTAATCCAGGTAGAGGTCTTCACTGTTTTTATCAGTGGATTGAAATATGTTGCAGGTCACTGAACTTGAACGACTTGAACTGCAACACAACGCAGATAGCGTTTCGATAAAAAACTTTTGTGTGATGAATGCTTCGACTTTTAAGGTGGTATGTTAAAATTTATATACTTTTTAGGTACAGTTATCGTCACTATTTCAAAACAGATCTTCAAGTTATGATTATGTACGTAAACTGTAAACTTTCTATTTTAATGATATCTAGTTAACATTTTCAAAAACAGCAGTATTTTTTTCATAACTGTACTTAAATGCATCCATGTCATAACTTACGTGGTAACGTGCCTAAAAATTGGTATTGTGAAATAATTATTGAACTTAGGTGCAAAATAACTACGTTAAATGATTAACTATCCAAAAACCTTTATTTTAAGCAAATGTTTGTTATCCATACTGCCGTAATTTTTAAATTAACTGTACCTAAAGATAAAATTACAATTAAAAGCTGCAAACTAGGGATTTTGTTGATGTTACCGTAATAAGTTGGCATTTTTATAGTGAGAAATTAGTTCAGCTATCACTTAACAGATGAGAAAATAAGTTCACGTGTCATTTAGTAGAAGGCAGCACTGATGTATTAAATAGCGATAGATGCGCGTTTGCCGAATTTAAGAAAAATCTGCAAAACATTGAAAACTAGTTTTGTGGTTATTCCAATTGTCTATGAGTTATGCAGTAACCATAGTAACGAATCACGTGGTTTTGTTATCAAGGCGGCCCCTCCCAGTAGTTAATATTGTGGCTTCGTTTGACTTTCTTTCTCTTTCTATGTTCAATAATGATTGTATAAGGATAAGGGAACAATGTCTTAAATATACAAGTATACCATTTTTTTCCTTGGCACCCTGACGTTATATAATCGTGGTTGAAAGTCAAACTATGGTCAGTAAAGTTTACTGCGGGATTATACTGGTTTTTACATAATATATAAACATAAAAACAATTCGTTTTATTAATTTTTTAACAAATTTAATTTTTATAGACAAAACAATAGTATGTAATGATCGATTAAATTTTGCCGATTAATTATTTCCGGAAGAAAATAAGATTATTGATATTTACTTTAATATTTACTTGAGTCATCATTAGAAACGAGATGAAAATCTGAAATTTTCTGAGGAAAACACTTCCCCTGTTGACATTATAATAATTATTATAAATATATTATTAATAATTAATGTTATATATTTTAGATTTCTTATAAATACTGTTTTTATACATAAATAGTCGATCCAATTACCATAATCCCTTTTTGATCATTATTTAATTACCTGTTTTTCAAACAATTGCAAATTTCTTTTCAGTTTGAAATAAATATTTTTGGGTAGATAAATAATTCAGACTTGTCGCCTGAAATATGAGTAATAAAATACCTCCAAATGAATGAACCTTTTGTGTATACAAGGTCAAGTAACAAAAATCCCTAATCAGCACATCCAGCTGATTGCTGTTGTAAGTGTAAGGCAATTAAAATTTATGACGTCTGGGAATGTAGTATCATCATTATTTAGAATTGCATAGTATGCTTAGATACAGTTTGTCGAATTTGGGAAACTGTATTAAAATAAAATCACACTTGTGTAATTTGATACAAAATTAAGCTTTTTGTACAGTAGACTTGCGATTATCTGAGGTAATTGGGACCGTGACTACCTCGGATACCGAAAGAACTCTGTCACTGAGATTGGTTATACTGATAGAAAAATGTGTACCTATGTTAATAATGATTAATGTGTTTATTTTAATAACTAAAAACTGATATAAAAGTAGTATAAAAGATAAAAAAATTAATTTATAAATGTTTTAAAAAAGTCTTTGATTGATTTTTGTTTCAACTTCAGTCCTCTTTTTGGGGCGGCGATGTTGCGCCAACGTTGAAAATGAAGGACGTCTAATGGTGTTGATTCTTCTTGTTGCTCAATGTATACGAGAGCTGCTTCAAGGGACTTAAATCCTTCGGAATGAGAAATCTTTTGAGTTATCCCATCTGTATCTTCTTCTTCTTCTTCATGGGTGACGTTTAGACCTAGATTGGCAATTGTATCATCTGTCAGTTCCACTTCTTAATCTAGATTCCTCCAATCGATGATGTCTTGTTTTACGATTGTTTGTTCTACTGGTAATTGATTGGCTAGGTGGGCTATAGAATCAACTTTACAGTCATCAGTTTCATTTTGAACGTCTTGTGTTTTGTTGTCTATCTTAAATAATTTTTTCCACAACTTCTGAGTAGTGGACATTTTTACGTCGTCCCAGGCAGATGCAATCCAATAGCAAACATCTTTAACCGTGATCTTCTTCAATGCCTCAATTACAGTCAGCCCTTCATCCAGTTTATAGTTAGCAGTGGCTGAAGATATGCAGAGTACCTTGAGATATGCAGACGATATAGTCCTGATAATAGATAAGAAGGAAGAGTTACAGAAGATGGTTGAGAAACTAGATAGAAAAGCGACAGAGATAGGTCTAGAGATGAACTATAGTAAAACCAAGATTATGACAAACCAAGAAGACCAATTAGAAATAGTAGTCAAACAGAATAAATTAGAGCAGGTGGCAGAATACATATACCTAGAACAGATAATAAAGTTGAACAGGGACAATCAAACAGAAGAAATAAAAAGAAAAACTGGACTAGCATGGGCCTCATTTGGTAAACTATCATATATACTAAAAAATAAAAAGTTCCCTAAATATATGCGAACGAAAGTATTCAACCAGTTCATTTTACCAGTTATCACATATGGCTCAAAAAACATAGACTTTCACAAAGGAGAACATCGACAGGATATCCAAAACACAAAGAGCAATGGAAAGACAGATGCTGGGTATCGGTCTTAAAGACAGGAAAAAAAATCATGGATCAGAGAAAAAACAAAGGTGAACGATGTATCAAGACAGGTTGCAAAACTTAAATGGAACTTCGCCGGTCACACTCTCCGGCAAAAAGATGAAAGATGGAATAAGCGAATTCTACACTGGAAACCATGGGAAAAGAAAAGAAAAAGAGGAAGACCACAGATGAGATGGACTCACGATCTTAAGAGAAAGGCAGGAAAGGACTGGATGTAGATCGCCCAAAATAGAGACCAATGGAGATTAACAGGGGAGGCCTATGCCCAAGAGTGGGCGTCTAAGGCTGATTAGATAGATAGATAGATAGATAGTACCTGAAGAAGCTTCCGCCAATAATTCCTCTTCATTCCTTATATATAACGTTTTGGTCTAGGGTTGGATGAGAGATGTTACATGGGGTGGAAGGAACACAGCTTGTATGTCACCACTAATCAATTCCCTCACATATGGGTGGGATCGTGCGTTGTCCAACAACAACAAAGCTTTTTGGACCAATCCACTACCACCACTCACACTTCGGTTTTCCCACTGTTCGATTTCATTCGGCTTACGCTTCCAATATCCAACAGTTACTTCTCCGACATCTAAATCTAAAGAAACCTTCTTTATTGATTCACCCTTGTCCAACCTCTTAATTGTATTCACTTTTGTTTCCAAATTGGACGATCTGAACGACAGCAAACAAATCGGTAGTTTAATTCACATTGATTAACATAGAAAGTAACAGGAAGTTGTAGACAAAACACCACACAGAAATTTCTGCACATGAAATCTCTTTCACATCAGCTTGACCTAAAGCATACCTTACAAATAATTCTCTTCTTATCAATAATCCAAAATTTTCAATTGATTGCCCATATAACAGCTGCCGATATAACTTCTGACCATCGACCCCTTTTTTTATTACTCGATATTGTGATTCAACAAGTACGACTATAAAGGTAAATAAAGGTAAAACCAAGGCAAAATTTTGCCTCGATTAACCTACGGTACCTAAAAGTATATTCGAAGAAGCTTCCGAAGAAGCCCAAATTTAAATTACCTCCAATCGAGTTCAAAAATTATTCAGAGATTGCAGTCTAGGTTTGGTATAGAGGATCTCCAAATTGAAGTTTACATTAGAGAGCTCTCAAAGTTAATTTTAAGTCGAGTTTCTTAGTATTATATATATATATATATATATATATATA